TCAAGCAAACCACTTCTGAAGATGCAAGCCACTCGTGCTTGCGAAACGTCAAGAAGAAATTCTACCGAACGACGGCCTAAAAACCCATTAGTTTCAGGGAATGGCCTCGCAAGTCTATCTGTTGAAAAAATAATTTTATTGGAGTTCGTTCTTTCGCCGGGCCTGTGCAACATATGATCATTACACGCAACTCAAGCAGCAAGCAGTGAAAATATAAGTCTCCCTTTAATATCACGTTTGTGTCAATCACGTCTTAGATTATATTTTTATTCATTGTTATTAATATTTATGAATTTCTGAACGTTGGACCATAGATAAAGACGAGTATAGATTACCAACTCTCTTGCACAATGTGGAAACAATGTCTATCCTACCGCCATCTATGATGGACCCAGGCACAACTGCGCCACGTCCTTCTTGCGGGGTTTGCGTCTCTGCTACTACTGTTCAGGGTTTGCATCCTTGCTATTGTCGGCAACCCATTACTTTCATTGGAATTAAGATATGTTTAATATTCAGTTTGATATATTTGTACAGAGGCAAGACTTGTTTCTGATTTATAAACAAATATATCAAATTGAATATTAAACATATCTTGATTCCAATGAAAGTAATGGGTAGCCGACAATAGCAGACACATATTTAGACATTAGTGATTGGTGTTTGGATATGTTGATAATAGAAACTTCATAAGCATTTTTAATTTTTTATTGCATTAAGTAAATAGGCGAAACGCCAAGTACCATTCATTTGTGAAAAGTGTACTATACAAACCACAAACCTTTGATCAAAAAGCAAAATGAGCACGTTACGAATCAAGGATTAAGCAAATAAACAAATATTTCAATGTAACAATAAATTAATTAATTAAGTGCAATTATCAATGCAGATATATATTTAGGTAGTTGGATGAACATCACAATAACATATACCGACATATAATTGTGTACCAGGATATCGGGTTGATAAGTCTAAAATCTACGATAATAAGTATAATAATAATAAGTGTAAAGTTATAAAATACTTGTCACACCCAATCCGCCTGATCCGAACCATTCTCAACTTTGGATTCTGACCAAATAGACACCTGAAAATATTCTGCTTTTATTTCGTTCTAACTTGAATCCGAGAAATGTACGAAAGCAGCACCATGTGGGTTTCGTCCAACAATCCACATGTATATAATTGTAGTAATGATGAAGCTTACCGCCTTGAAGATGTATCATCACACTGAGGCATACAGCAACGATCAATATTAATGCTCATTTCTTAATAACATCTATGATATACGCTAGGGATTTACGGATAATCTATACTCGTGTTTATCTATGTTGTAACCTAAAAATAGCAAATCCCCACGTTTCATAAATGCGCTGCCATGTCATATCATCTATGCCCCTAAGTGGAAACTATAAGATTGTCTCTTTTATGCCCTTAAGTGGAAACTGTAAAATTGTCTCTTCATTCAATTTATCTTGAAAAAACCAGTCACAGATGGCGAGACGGCGCTCCCAAAAACATGGGTACGCGCATGGCAATATGACTGAGCCCCCCATGCGTTGGACGCTCGACATTGGTAGCTCTAAGTTCGAAAGTCGGCCACACGATGCGATAAACCGTCAAGCCTACAACGTTGAAAGGTGATCGTAGCATCGTGTAGCGCCGGCTTTAATATGAACTCATTTAGTACTGTACTTTATTTATACATCAGTAATGCAGCGCTATAAAATGAATCTTTCAAATTCGATGCCAATATGTCATGATTACGTATATAAATAGAATTTTAGTGATTGAAATTCAATTCCCTGCAGATCGTGGGTTGTAGAACTGTGAGACACAATTTATCTGTTTCTAGTCGAGTCTTGAATAGGTTCATTTATTTTAAGCAGGTAAATTTATAATTTATGAGTTCTACTTTCTCGTGTTCTTGTTTGTTTAGCGCTGCTGTTAAGCAATTTGCCAGCTCAACATTTATGAGTTTTTTCAGGAATTTCTTTAAGACGTAAGGTCACCTTCCAGGAAAAGTCACATTTTGACAGGTTCGGTACATTATCTAGTAACAGATGCCACACACGCTGATACGATTCATACTTTTATATCTCATCAGCGTGAAATTATGCAATCCATTGTCGGGATGTTTTAATGCCACCACCCACGGTGTACCTTCACGAAAGAAACCGGAATTTGCGTTTTTCATATTCCAAGAAGGGATTTGAAAACCTTGGATACGACATGAGCCGTTTTCTTTGAAAATGGTGAAAGTCCATGTTGACAAAAAAAATTGTTAACGATAAAATCGAATACAATTTACTGTACACTTTTTCCAAAAAAATCGGTTGAATTTTTGAACAAAAACCTTGTTACTAATAAATTGAATATCTTTACTTAAAAAGTGAAAAATTAAATTATTTAAAATTTGAATTCGTTTACTGCAATGGAATTATAACTATGCGATAATTAGTAAACACATGAATAAAACACTGCCATCGAACAACTAAAATGAATTGCATTTCAAATTAACTTATTAACTACTTAAAACTATCGAATAATTCGATGACTTCCATCGCTGAAAACATCGCTTTCGAATAATTCAAATGAATTACAACTATCGAATAATTCGATAGTTTTTAATCGATAGTTCCCATCGCAAATCAAAATGTACCTTTCGGGGTTTTAATTTAGGAAATAATTCAAACAAAATAGTAAAACAAAAAAATCAGAAGACATTAATAT